GAAGGAAGAATGGAAGGAAGGAAGGAAGCAAAGGAATGAGGGTGGGAGATCTGTGGTCCGCTATTTTTATAGTCACAATATTTTCTAACTCACCTTGGGATTTCGTCAGGATAAAAGAATGGAGGCTGTAGAATTCCAGATGGAACAACTGCAAAAAAAGAAGAAAAGATGAACAAACAAACAATCTTGTCAAAACTTTAATATTTTGCACCTATTTTAGTTCGCAAGCACATGGACAGAACAACTTATTTTATATAGACCTACCTATTTCATTCTTTGTAATCACATAAAAAGCATTGACAAGATGAGGGACTGTGATCCACCTGAAGGGAAATTACGCATGTGCCTTAATTAAATAAATGTAGATTTGATCAATCAATCCTTCGATCCCATTCATCCATCCATCCTGGTCTATCCGTCCATCCATCCATCTATTTCTTCCTCCACTCCTTCATTTCTCTTTCGCTTGGCTCATTCTTTAGTTCTCTCTCATTCATTCATTCTCTTTCCTGTTTCCTTTCCTCTTCTTTCCCTCTGTTATTCGTTTCTTTTATTGATACATTGATTCTTTCATTCACTCTTTCTTCACTTCAATCCTTTTTATTATCAACTTACTGATGTTTATCAGAGACTGTATCCAGCTTTTGATAGGTTTGCAAAGAAGCGAATTTGTCAGTTTCCAGGACGTTCTTGAACCAGGCTCCCTCAGTTATATTCAACTATATAAAAAACAAAAACAAAARCAAAACAAAAAAATTAAAAAAGGRAAAAAAATCCATAAATTATTAACCATAATTAATATCATGGGACCTCTTACACGTCAAACTAAGTGCGAGCAAATTCTTATTCTCATTAACATTGGCCTTTACTGATTTTCATAAGAATGATGCATTGTGGTCTGGCTTGGGTGCAAATGACAGACTCCTTCTTTGGGTACCTGACCTYGTTGGCATAATTCAACAGAAACTCCAAGTTATACGAAAGAACTGAAGCTAACAAGGAATAYGATAACGGTTTGCAGTACATGCAGAAGGATTACAACAACCTTAAAGCACAATAAAAAAATATGTTTGTACCCAAGATATACCAGCACGCACCATGTCTGCTATTTTAGAAAATGCATATAAATGTAGGGTGACCCACATACTGCTTTAAAGCACGAATCTTTTGATTGGACAATGTCCTGCCAGAACTGGGACTTGTCCAGTCAAATCTTTGCCTTGCCAGACAGTTTGACCAGTAACGTTGAACCAGAAACGAGGTATGACCAAGCTAAAATTATAATTTGGTCGGTGATCATGACCAGCTATTTTTTTAGCCMAGTTTAGCGGACTTCTAGCGAAGCCATAGATAACCGACTTATTCCTCTTACCAAGGGTCGTGTCCATTATGTGCAAAGAATTTTACCTTGTCATATCTCTCGTTGAATTTCTTATTATCCCACAAGTAGTCAGGATATCCCACTTTGTACACAGCCTCGTCAGCCTAAAACATTTAAATGACAGTCAAGGGGTATATGAATAGATTTCGAGTTTTGCCACAAGGAGTTGCAGAAGTAAAATAGATTACTAAAATTAAATACCCCCTTATTTTGAGAAGGAAATGGTAACCAAACAGCACCAAACACATTTTTGTGGTTACCTTATGTCAGGTTTCTTCGCTTCGACCTTTGTTTTGCTTTAAATCATATAARCATGTGCTCACAGAATGCGCTTCTCATGTCAATTCAAGGTAACAACTCACCCAAATAACCATTAAATGGGTTGCCAAACCTTCATCTCCGTTGTATAATGTTTTTCGAGGTCAAAACCTTTCAACTAAACTCTCGCCGGGAAGAGTAGGACCGAAGAGCTTGGCAGCTCGAAAGAGCAAGGTGTTTTGGAACACGTACGTGCCGAATTCACGCATTCTCACGGGAGTACGCAACATGCGGCTAATTATGAAACTTGCTATGACACAGGAACCCCAGCTAAAATACAGGAAGCCCAAGCAGTTTTAAAGGGCCGTGCCGAGAGCTTTCTATTATTTGTCTTTTTYATATTACTGTTTAAATATTCCCGCTCTTTCTTTCTGTCTTTATTACACTTGATTTATTTTGTTCATATTATTTGTTATTATTAATTATCAATTGAATGAAAATACTGTATAGTAGAGAACCATTCAGCAGCTGAACCATTCATTCATTATTTGAAAAATAAATTCTCGCGCCCCCATTAGTATGCCCAATTTTTTTCGGAATCCCTCGGTTTATTCCCAACATTTTGAAGGCTCTCTATGACTCATCAATTATTTCAAGAACCCCTTTTCAGGGTTACTAAAATTTCAAGGCCCCATTTTCTCACTTATTCCCCTCACCCCTTCAATGAATAAAGAACGGTCGTTAAAATAAAGAAGACATTCAATTCACTCACTGTCTTTGCGTCTGTCAGTTTGTCAGTCTGTGTGTCTTTGTGTCTTTGTGTCTGTGTGTCTCTTCTGTATGTGTGTCTGTCTGTGTATTTGTCTGTCTGTCTGTGTGTCTGTCTGTCTATTTGCTGCCTTATTTCTAATAATCTATATGGTCTCACCTTTTCTTCCACAGCAGCCACYGTATGATTGTCAACCCAGTCTACATTCTCAATATTATTCTTGAAAGCCTTTATGATTCCTTCCATCATCGACTCTACCTACAAACGACGAAATACAGAATAGAGAAGCTGAACGAATGAATAAATAGATAGATAGATAAGTGATAAGAGGATGGAATAATAAATGGACTGATAGATGAGTGCGTAGATTGCAGGGTTTCGTGAATGGGTAGGACGTTGGATGTCTAGATGAATAGATGGATGGATGGATTTGGATGGAAGAGTGGATTGACGGGATAGTTGATGAAATGAGTGAGAAGCACGATGGGAGGTTAGATAAATGAATGGATGGATGGATCGATAGATGGGTGAAAGACTGGATGAACGGGATGAGATGGGACATCACGGTGGTGTACGGAATGGATGGGGATGAAATGGGATAGATGGATTAGTGGGTGGGTTGGTGGCAGAGTAAGATGATTGATGGATGAGTGGAAGGTCGAATGAAAATAGGGATAGTATCACGTGACGAACCTTGTGTTTACTCTCTGGGCTGAACGCATTTTTAATAAACAAAGCCCCCATCAAAGGACCCAGAAGATTATTGGTATACCCAAAACACTTCTTCTCGCGAGGCTTTTCGTGTTTGACACCAAGGAGCTTCTTCTTGAGGTCAAGATGTTCATGACGAAAATCCTTGGATAGCAGAGGCACCACATCCTTAACAAGACGCCACACCATGTAGTTGGACAACACGCTGAGAAGAAGATACATCRTAACAAGAAGTGACACTGAATCACGTGGTCATTTGCCGCCATATTGGATGCTACGCGAGTCAATACACGACGAATTCATTGGCGCAAATTGTTTAGTAATTCTTATTCTCTGGTGTTGGTTTTTTACTCCCAAATTAACGTTTTTTWAAATCTATTTTGGCGAGAAAATGGATCACTAACACATCATTCCTCCTACCTTTTGTCTGTCTTCCTGAGAAGTTCGAACAAATTTGGCAGATAATCGTTGGCCAGGACGATAGCATGAGTGTCTGGATTCACTGGTTTTGGCCAGAAAATAGTCCTCAAATGTTCCATCCACGGAAACTATAATACGATATAACACTAAGGTGGATATTTGACCTTGACATACAAACAAGGGGATATCTTATGTGTAGAAAATAAGCGGAATACATTATCGAAGGCAAGCAAGTTCAAAGGAGAAAGAACTCTATAAAAGCTACTTTGGGACAGAAAAAAGCCTTACACCATYACACGATGGCAGCCATGACAGGAGGCAGGAGTAATCGAACTTCCGGTCAAATCTCATTTACACGAGAATTCAGTTTCCCAGGGGAAAAAGACTATTTTTGTGCCTTCTGTCATGGCTGCCATCACGTGTTGATGCAAATCCTCTATAGGCCATTTACAATAGAGCATTTTCCCTCAGTCCCTAGAGAGTTAACTGAGAATAGAGATGGCAGMCATATTGKTGTAYCTAACAAAAGAAACTAATGACAAAGTTATTGTCAAAGTTACACCAATATGGCGGATGAGACATCGTGTGAAAACGCTCTATACAAATCATGGTTACACTTTTCGGCTGAGTGCGCATGCGTCATGTTTTCCATACCTCCGGGATAGCTTTAACGAGTTTTCCCACGCGAATACGAACGTACTTCTTGGCGATTTTTGGCACTGAAATCTAAAGAAAATAAGTGGAAAATTTACAGTTATATGTTTGTGATAACAATAATGGCGGAGATAAGACAATCATAGTAAAGAAGAMAGAGGTAAAGGAGAGTGCGGCAACCGCTACACAACCCCGTTTCATTACTCACTGTGGCCAGCTTTGCTTCAAATTTCATAATCTCTCCAACTTTTTCTTCTGCAGTTTTCTCGTCTACCCCCGACATGCCGATTATGTCTGACATGTACTTACTGACCATGCGGATAATCTAAAACAAGACAAGTTTTTTATGACAGAGAAATTTACAATGTATGGTATGTTGAGCATTATATTRTTGTTGTCATCCAATTAAAAGAGACCATTACCAGGGCCGTAGCCACAAATTTCTGATTGGTCCGGTTTTCGAGGGTTTTCAGTTTTTCTTATATTTTTTCTTATTTTTCTTATATTTTTTTCCCGAAAGTTGGTCCGGTTGAAACCGGACCAACCGTACCGGTGTCTACGGCCCTGATTACGCTTCAAAGTGCAGACTTATCGAGCCCTTTTCAATTATTTCGTATGAGGATTCCAGAGTGCAAAATCTATGAACAGGCGAGAAGCCGATTTCGATCGAGCCACTGACTCGGAAGAAAATTTTGTATTGTCCTTTACGTATTGGGTTGAGCAACGTGGCAAATTCAGTAAATTCAATCAATGTGTATATGTACATACTTTTGGACTTGTGAAGTAGACGATCTGTGGTAGRTTGAGCGTTGCTTGATCGATCTGAAACAGAAAGATGGGTTATCATCTGAATTGCATTGATAGGAAAATGGATGAAASGATGGATTGACGTATGGGTGGTACAGTATTTGGGAATATGGCGAAATGAATAAATGAATGAATGAAGAAACTGTAATTCATCATACATACCAAAATGATATAGTTAGCACGACTATGTTGCTTTGTAGGGTCGGTATGAACGTCCACAGTGAAGAACACTTCGGCAGGGTACCCTCGATGCATCTTTCCCAACGTCTTGTAAAAATCCCATGATTTCGAATCCCATTCTTTATCAAAACTCCAAGACCCAAGGCTCTTGATATATTCGACCAATGGGTTATTGCCCGACTTGTCAATAGTTTTCAAATCCATACAAGAACGGAAAAACAATTTAATCTTTCTTAGATTTTCATTGTCAGTGTYTTGGTCGGTTTTCAACGAGTCAAGAAGAATCTTCTCGTTGTTTTCGGAAAGCTCAGAGATTCGAGAATACTGAGAGTGAAACTTCGGGATYTTGTGCTCCTTCACCCAGTTTCCACATGCATATTCGTAAAAATTATCGCAAGGGTCCACGGATTCGTTCAGAGCTTCTTTTATACTTTTGGCAACACGGTGACAATGCGGTGACTGACAGATCTTTCTGCCAGATACTTTGGACATTAAGGTTTCGACCTTTTGTTCTTGTGCGGTTGTCGGGGCTTCCTTTGGTTTTTCTGTCTCGGGCTTTTCCGTTGCCGGCTTTTCAGGTTCGGGCTTTTTTGCTTCTTGTTTTTCATTTTTGGGCTTTTGCGTATCAGGCTTTTGCGTGTCAGGCTTTTGCGTAGCAGGATTTTCCGTTCCTGCATTTTTTTCTTCTTCTTGCTTTTTATCTTCGGGCTTMGCGGTTGCAGGCTTCTCTTTTGCAACCTCTTCACTGCTCTTATTTTTTTCGTCTTTACTAACTGTCAAAGTTGTAGCAACAGTCTGTGCACTCTTACTAGCAGTTTCTTCCTGCTCTTGAGCTTGCCCACCTGTAGCAACTTGCTGTGTTTGTCCCTGTATGGGATTCTGCTCGGTTTGTTGCACAACCTTGACTGGAGGTGAATCTTCTACTTGAGCATCAACTGATTTTAACTCCGTCACACCTGTCGTTGTGATGGCTGGTTGTTGCTTAAACGCGGTACCTGGCACTGTCCCTACAACCTTAATACTATTTTGGCTAGTCGAATCATCCATAGGAGTAASTTTCATAGTCAATACTTGCCTAGAATAAACGCAATTTAATGCACAACATATAAGATATATAAGAATCCATCTTCTTTCATTTGGAAACGATTTCATTTTGAAAAAATGTTCCTCTTTTAAGAATCAATCCAGTGACAAACTCCCTCCACGTTTCTTGTCCCAATTCTTCACAGAAGTCGACGTCCTAATTTCTCAACCAAATTTAAAATTTTGCTAGTATGATAAACAAAAAAGCAGAAATTTCGTCCTATTTTAACAGCTTTGAAAAGTCGAAGATCATTGGGATAATGAACCAACGACTTAACTGAAATATTTACCATTATACGAACATTTGATTGGCTGAGTTTGTTGGYCATGACGTCTAATAACGGGTATTGCTAGTCACCTGTAAAAAAGATCAGCTTTCACTCCAACCACCTGCACATCCAAGAGCATTCGTTTGGCCAGCGGTAATTTTGACAATGCGAT